ACCCACTTCTAAACAAAATAACGTGAAATGACACCCAAGTCGGGCGTCACATATTGGCACCCGTATTGCACTTCTATGCACCCCCCCCCCCCCAGTAAAGTACAAGTACAGTAAAATACAGCTTTTCCTAACACGATCACGCACGGGTTTGTGGGTCAGTTAGGAATGCTATTCGGATGATAGTAGAACGTCTGTATAGCTCTTTGGCAAGTATGTAAGTTTCTACGCAAAGTTAGTAAAGTTACGTGATTACGTGAAAAGTATTGCTAAAGGCAAGTCTGTAAATTTGCGTCGGAAGTCAGTATAAATACGTGGCATGTCTGCCAAGTTGGTAAAGTTCCATGTAAAAGTCCACAAAGTTGGTAAAGTTACACGGAAAGCCTACACAATTGCGTAGAAAGTAAGTAAAAGGTGTGGAAGTGTGAAATATTGCGTGCAAAGTTGGTAACTACATTGAAAGTCTGTATAGTCCAAAGTAGGTAAAGTTATGTGAAAAGTCTGCGACGTTACACAATTGCGTACGAAGTAAGTAGAGGAGACTGGAAAGCGTAAAACATCGAGTGCAAATTACGTTGAATGTCACTACAAGTGCGTGGCAGTTTATGGAAAAAACCACACAACTGTGCACGAAGTAAAGAAACGTGGATGCATTTAACATTGCGTGCAAAGTTGTTGTGGAACCTCTGTATCCTCGGGGGCGGACATCCGGGCATTTTCACCGCCTGGCAACCTGCGGCGGTGAAAACAAAGGCCCAAAACTCGCAGAAAACGGTACTTTGGGATGATTGTTGAGACTCCTCTGAACAGTGTAACAAGATTAGCCCTACGTGTGTAACATATATAAATTTGGCTGTTCGGGATTACTTCAAAGTTGAGTTTGTGTTGTTTTCTGGAATTTTCACCGGCTCGACCGGCGTTCCACAGCAGCGCACACAGAGCCCATAGAAATGCGTGTACAGTGGTGCGCGTCGTAGCAACGTGGAACGTCTTGTGACGTAGCTCCGCTCCCGAGGATAGCTACTTGGCAGTTTTTCAAAATTTGTGGGGGATAGAGTAGTGCGCTTTCGGTAGTGCTCGATGATAGAATAAACAGTCAAATGTGGATGCAAAAAAAACACGGTGTGGTTTATTGCTCAACCAACTGGCATAGTAACAGGTTACACATGAAAAAGGCGCCCCAAACTCTGAAACTAGCCTTTTATATAGGTGCGTATCGAACGTGATAGTAAATAATACATGCAAGTAAATGATACTATTTTGTAAAAAAATACTCAGAAGAATTCTTCATATGAAAAGATAAACGAATTAAACAAATACAAATGTACATTATGAATCTCCGGCAAAATTTGCATACAAAGTTGGTAATGTTATGTGAAAATTCAGTATTGTTACGTGGCAAGTTAGTGAAGTTTCATACAAAGTAAGTGAAGTTGCGTCACAAGTCAACACAGTTACGTGCAAAGTTGGTAAAGTTACGTGAAAATCTATTAAGCTTCTTGCTAAGTAGGTTTAATAACGTATTTTTGTGTGCAAAGTTGATAAAGTTAAAAAGAAAACTCTGCAAATGTGCATGCAAAGTAGTTATTTTAGATGGAAAGCCTGCAAAGTTTTGTGCAATGAAGGTGGATTTTCGTAAAGTCTTTTATAACTACTTGTCAAGTTAGCAAATTTGCATGAAAAGAAGGGAAATTTAGATGGAAAGCATGTAAAGTTACGTGCAAGGTTGGTAATGTTACGTGGAAAGGCTGTATAACTACAAGTGTGCACATTTGCATGCACAGTTGGTAAATTTATGGGGAAATGTGCATGGTAAATTTAGATGAAAAGCAGTCTGCAAATTAGAATGTATAGTTGGTTAAGTTATGTGACATGACTGCAAGGGTGGAATATTTGTATAGAAGTTGATGAAAGTTACGAGGAAAAAGGTATGCATTGCTAAGTTGCAAAGATGCGAGCAAAGTTGATAAAATTGTTACATTACGTTACGTTACGTACTAAGTTAGTGAAAGTACATGTATGCAAAGTTGGTAAAGTTACTTGGAAAGTCTGTATTGCTACAAGGCAAGTTTGTAATTTGGTATTATAACAATAATCATTATTATATCTTATGTTTAAGTATGGTGGTAAATAAAACTTATTGACTCAGACAGTTATTGCAAACAGAAGTTTGATTTATGTTGTGTTTATTCATTCAGCATAATGAAATATTTAGTTACCTCAGAGATGGTCAATATTCAGTTTTAATGACCCGAAGAGGAAATTATTGACCAAGACGCAGCTGAGGTTAATAATTCCCTTTGAGGGTTGTTGACCTCCAAAAGAAGAGTGTATAAATGAAATAATAAAATCAACAAGGTTTTTTATTTGTCCAAGATTCTATTGTATATATCTACAGTGTTCATATACAAACCAAGTTCAGTCAACTTTACTTCAAAATCGTCACAATTGAAAATGTGTAATTATTAAATTAAATTGAAATCATTCAGCAATTTTAGCCATGAAACTGGGTGCCTGAATAATACCGAAGTTCTTGCCCTGCTTCATAATTTCCAGCATTGTAATGCATGTTCTATTGAAGATATGTTTCTTGCATCTCATTTCCATGCTTGTGCCATTCTCAATTTTCCATATCCATACTAGTTTTTGCATATGACGTATTGTCCCGAACATTGTTGTCATATATGAATATTCGTGCATATGATGTATTCTCCTCTACATAACCGCCATATATAGATGATTGTGCAAATGACACATTCTCCGCTTGTTTATTGATATATACAGATGTTCGTAATTTGTTCTCTCCTTTATTGTACTGATCAATGGGAGTCGCTTAATCAGATTCATCCTCCTCATTGCTGTTCAGATCCATTGAAGTCAGTGAATAACAATCAGCATTTTCTAAATCTTGTTGTTTTCTCTCCAGAAGCTGTGTCAAGTCATCAACTTCTTCACCAGATGGTGCAGGGTTTGTTTTCTTTACTTCTTTCTTGATGGCCAGATAATCTGCATCCTCAACATCGTTACCATTACCCGTCGACTGAATAGTTAGATACATTCCCTGCTCATTCACACATTTCATTGTCTTCAATGATTGTAATGCATTTTCTAAATCTTGTTTTCTCTCCAGAAGCTGTGTCAAGTCATCAAATTCTTCACCAGATGGTGCAGGGTTTGTTTTCTTAACATCTTCCTTGATAGCTAGATATTCTTCATCCTCATCATCGTTACCATTACCCACTGACTGAATAGTTGGATACATTCCCTGCTCATTTACACATTTCATTGTCTTCAATGATTGTAATGCAATCACCATTTCTTGTAAGATGATACATGTATGATGATTTGGTTTCTTATGGTGGTGTGCCTACAATTATAGAACAAGTAAATAATTAATAAGCGTCCATGCAAATTGATATCAGTTTAGATAATAATCTTGAATAATATGGTTACATTGCAGAGATCCATGCTATCACATACTGCCTGAGTGAATACTTTGCAGTATTCTCATGAAAACCTTATATAATCTTTTCACATCAAAATATTAAGGAAATTAGCAGCACTATTAAACAACAATATATAACATACTGGAGAGAGAATATGATAAATGAAAAAACAAAACTGCCAACATACATTAAATTTAGAATGAATTACAATCTGGAAAGATACCTTAATGTTTTGGATAATAATCAAAGAATATCAATGGCTAGATTCAGAACAAGTAGTCATAATCTAGCCATTGAAAAGGGCAGACATACCAATCCAAAAACCCCATTAGAAAATAGAATTTGTAAACAATGCACATTACAGGAAGTTGATGTCGAATTACACTTTCTTTAAGTTTGCCCACGATATCAAACAAATAGAAATGATTTGATTTCAGTATTTTATTCCCCAAAGAAATCATTCCCAACCTGCAAAATTCACATATTTAATGAAAAGTAATGACAAAAATATAATTAAACTTTTAGGGGAATTTCTGCATAAATCATTCATTTTAAGAAATGAGTTTTCTTTGGATATAATGCCTTGACTCTTTTTTACTATTTTATATGTTTTCTTACTTTGCTATTATTTTAATCATTTATATATTTATTGCTGTAAACCAATAGAAAATTTGTACTTCTAAGGATGCAATAAAATTATTATTATTATTATTTCCTGCTTGTAGTCATAATTTAGAGATATGACAACCCGAAAATGCCAATGAAAAGTATTTGTACCTACGTGATTATTTAGGTTTACTAGCAAACAGGGACTGAAGTAAATATATATTGCTGACAATAGTAAAATGTGAATCAAACTACAACATGTCATTTTCAAAATTGCAAATTTTCATGAAATGCCAACTAAGATTTGACTTAGGAGTCGAAGTTATGAGCAGACTGTCACATTCTTGTGGTAAGTACATAGAAATATCAGAATATGTTTTTTTTTCAAAACCAAAATACAAGTTTCGTGAAAGTGATATGCAGGGACACTTCCAAGATGATCAGTGTGTAATTTTGTATATCAAAAATGAAAGATTTAATTAATTTAATTATTAATTAATTAAGTTCTTAGTTTACCTTAGGAATAACCCTGTCACATTTGTCACAAGACACCGTTGACCCGTCCTTGTCTCCAAAGACTTGATCCTCATAGTCCTGTAAAAATCAAAGACAGAAGTCATCAGTTTATTGATTTTGATAAGTATGGCACAGTTACGTTTTTGTGAATAAACTATTACAAACGTATTTGTATGTGTATGTGTAACTAGATCAGAGCCTGAGGTCACATCTTTTCCTGCTTTTGCCAGGCAGCCTGGTGATACCAATATAGTCCAGAGTAAGTTAAGTGTAAAGTTAATTCCTATTCTGCCCAAGACAACTTAGCAAGACAACAACAGCAAGACTGGTACTATAAAAACATTAAATATTCAGTTTTAATTTTGATATTTTGCTGAAATCTGTTGAATTAAATCCATGTCACCATGCAAAATTTCAACAGAACTCATTTTTATTCAGTGAAAAATCCAAGAATTTGAAACCTAGCAACTATAAATACTTTTAAAGTAATTTTTAGTTTCCGAGAATTCATGTGCAACGAAAATAAAACAAAGAATATATTCCAGTTTGACTGTACTAATGTATCATTCACCATACGAATGATGTCTACAGTTGTTTGAATAAATCAAGAATAATCACACAGTACTGTTTATCAGTTACCAAACAATGATTTATAAATATACACTGCAAACTCATTCCAACTCTTAAGAGTTAATTTTAATGAAAAATCATGATAATACTTTGAAACAGGTATGACGTCAAGTTTATTTTATACAGTGATCTCAGCAACTTGTCATGAAATCTAACTTCTGGTATTCGTACTAAAAATCAACTCACTGAACAGAATACCATGTGCAAAGAAATTAAATCAGTAATGTTTAATGTAATTTTATTCAGCTGAGTTTGCAGACTAGCTTCGCAATAATGTTCATATTACCTTGATTATTTGTACAATTGTCTTCCCATCTTCATTTCTTGCAGCCTTTGTGACCTTGATAATAACCTTTACATATTTCATCAATCGGCGATGTGTGGCAAAATTTACATGCTTTTCCTGATGAGAAGAAAAAATTTTTCACCTAAATGATATGTGCATCAACTCATGAAGCCATGCTAGGATATCTCAATACTATGTTCCAATTATATATTGTTGTATTATGTCAGCTGTTCTATTAATTTAACAAATGCCATTCATTGGTTTTGTCGGTTTCTACTTAATACCAGTACGTTTATTCATTTGCAGAAATATTTTTTTTTTTATTCTGAGCGAATTTCAAAATATTTTTTATTCTACTTGGTCAGATCACATGGGGCTTTCATAATCTTCAAATCCCATCTTGTACCTATTTTAATTTGTTGAAGAAGTAATGCATGTTAATATCCAATAACAGAAGGATATTACAAGAATTCTGTATAGTATGCACAAAGGTAGTAAAATGACAGTATCGACCAACACATAGGACAGGTTTTTTTAATGTAGTGCTTTAAACTTTTCACCACCAGTTCCCTCTTTTCATCACAAATTCACAAAATAGTCCGCTTTATAGTCTGAGTTTTCTTCAGAAAATTGGGACAAAACAAATTTTGAGAAAAAACTAAAAATTTACTAAAATTCTGTCTGTTGGCTCCAAAATTAGTGTTGAATTTCCAGAAATAGAAAAAAAAATGCAGAAAAATTTGGGCAAGAAAGTCTGGTGATGAAATACAGTACTGGTAGTTGAGATGCAATTGACTCATGCAAAACCCAGTATTAATATTATTATTGTAACTTGATGTTCACATGGAATTAATTCCCGCTATTTTTGTGGAAGGAATAAATCAGTTAAAGTAAAATGGCCAAAAGATTGCAGATACCCATTGCAATATCGCAATATTACAGCAAGCTGTAACTTATGAAAATACTATGACAAATGTATAACAATATTAAATACCTGATTCTTACAATTGGATCCAAATAGCAAATGATATGCTCCCTGCAATGAATAAGACATTAAATATTTATATTTAATTGGTAATGTATACACAGACTTGCCAATATTGCTTGTATGGTGCTGAGTTAAAATTACATTTCAATTCTTAAATTCTTTGAAATATGTCTTTTGCTAGTTCGTCTAATTAGTGATGTGAAAGATACGTCACAAATGAAAATACAGATGGACTGTCAACTCATTGATAAAGTTACACCGAATTAGAAGAGAGATAAACAGAATGCCACTTCTTTGACACTGACAGGCAGACTAACTGTCCGTCCAACAGACAGACAGACAGACAGACAGACAGACAGACAGACAGACAGACAGACAGACATTGGACATATTGACTGTAAAAGTCAGAAAGATGTGAGTGACACAGTTTGCACTTACTTTTTTTCTTCTACCAAAATCTGATATTATCTTGCCATGATTTATGATGAAACTCTGGTTTGCACATAATTTACATGGTACATCATCCAATACCTGTTCAAGTTTATCCTAAAAAAAAACATAAATTAAAAAAAATATTAAAATAAAGAAACTATAACCTTATCATCAGTATTTCTAACTACAGATCTGAAAATCTTAAGGAGGCCTTTTTCGCGATTATCATAAAAAATTACCTCTCCCAGCAACATTGAGAGAACGACTGCACATTCTCAGAATAAATTAATTACTGTAAAATACTTTATTTTCGCTTGCAACTTTTTTTACTATTTTCGCTGAAGGAATGATTCAGTGAAAATAAATTATACCATTTTTCCTATATTTTACATTCAACTCATCAAAAAATCAATGAAAATAAATTCCATACAAAACACTCAAAAAGTCTTTTCAGTGAAAATTTATTCCAGAGTATAATTAAATATTTTTGCTTAGCCTAATTCAAACTGAGAAAGTCAGTGGACAAATGTCATTTATTTGTAAGCAAACTGTTTTTTACTTTTTCAACAGATTTTCCTGCTTTCTAAGTTACTTGGAATGCATATAACAAAGAGACCAACTTTGATATAACTATGTGTGTGTGAGCACATTTGCCAAAGCTTTTCACAAGATACATAGAAATAGTTTTCTATTATCCCCAGACATCTTATAATATACATTTTATGGGTGGCTACCAACTTGAAGATGTATAAGGCCAGAAAAAAAAATTGTTTTGTTGCCCTCAGTGACCAATCAAAAAATATGAAATACCGGGTCGCGTTTTTTTTGTTTATCTTGGTATTTTTAATAGGCCCAAATATTAAAAAATCACCATTTTAAGCAGTAAAAAAGTGTTTCCTCTAAAAATTAAGGATCCCGGACTGTTGTTTGAACCTCGGGTTGATCTGTATTTTTCTGACATGTTCCGAATACTATGAAGTCCATATACCTTGGCTATTTATGATACTCTTAGTTTTCACGAATTTAAAAAAAAAAAAAAAAAATTCTTTTTTTTGGCCTAATAATTATATTGTTTCACTATAAATGCAAAACATGTGGTCAATATTTGATAAACATTTCATTTACTGTAAAACATACTTTATATTAGCTGGAATTAATTTTTCTAAAAAGACATTTTGTATGAAGTTTATTCTCAAGTATAATATAAAAAGTATTTTCGCTTGATTTTATTTTGATTGATTTATTCCTTCAACAAAAATAGGTAACAAAACTGAAACTGGTATAATAATATATCTGCCCAAAACTGTATAGTTTTGCTTTAAAATTAAATGGATGTGGATCGACCCCCCCCCCTCCCTCTTCTTCACACACACATGACAGCAAAGCAGCTGGAGAACACAGTTGTTGTCTTACCATTGCAAAATTCTGACTACAATTAGAAAATGAGTCATTTATAAATTTATAAAAACAAGTCATTGTCAATAACATGTCCTCAACCCAGTTTTTAGTGACTGTCAACAATAGTTCCAAATAATTATTTACACTCACGTGACAGACATGATACAAAGTGTGGAGCCAGTTTACTTGTGCCTTACTTTATTCTGCTCATGACATTCATAATGCATTTCTAGCATTAAAATGATGAACATGACCAGTCTAGCCATGTTAGCAATATGGCTCCAAAAACAGTATTCTTTAATCAAAGAAAGCTTAGAAAGAACTCC